TCTTCTGTCTGTGTCATAGCGTTTCTAAATTAATAACATGTTACAACTGAGATATAGAATTCGGTATTGAAACTGAATTTATACAATGAGTAATTTTATGATTTTGTGCTGTCAGTCAACACCCCATGCCAATCCTGATTGTATGATTGTTTCAATCTTTGAAAATATTCTGACAAAAAACTTGATACGTTTGAAACCTGAACATAATAATAGCTGACTCACTTTAGAGGCCCAGTTTGTCAATTATGGAGTTTTAGTTTGGCTGGACTAACGAGTCTATGCATAGTCCAATTAAAATCGCGTAATGAATTGACATTCGGTTAATAACCAGATGGCGACTGTCGTGCTGTCAACTTGGCATCGATAGATATTTTGCAAATCTTTTCATGTTTTAAACGAAGGCGCTCAAGTCATTTGATGTACTTCGTGAGGTAAGACCCATTTTATTACATTAAAGGTCTTGATTATCGATCAGATCGTCTAGCCTGGGAGCCGCCATTTTGATTGAAGCAAATGCAAGTCATATGAGAGATGGAATCTGGTCAATACAAGGGACATCGAAGGGACATAACTCGTAATCGCCACTGGTGGCTCTACGATCGAGCCCAGAAATTCCAGCCTAGTTCGGCAAGGGTAGAAACTGGACTTTTACAGTCAGTAAATTAACTCTCTTGCCTCGGTAATATGTTGACTCTGCAGCGTTACATACAGTGCTGACCCCTGAAGATCCGGGGTAGAATAGGTCTTCAGCAACCAATGCTTGCCGTAATAGGTGACTATGCTTGTCGTTAGAGGCGACTAACGGGATCGGGTAGTCAGACTCGCTGACTTGGTTGAAGCATGTCATCGATCTCAATTGCGTGGATCGATGCACATGATATCAATCACTGGATTGTCTGGTCCAGACTCGATTATTGACAGACCGCCGTCATACAACTGGAATATGGTTGAGTGCGGCGTAAAACAACAAACCAACAAACCAACCAACATACAGTGCTGGTAAACACATTTATGGAGTCATCAAAATTATCTAAAGCTTTGTCAAAACACAAGAGCAGGGCGTCTGATATTTCTGTTGAAAAAAGTTTGTCTCCTAATTCGGACACCCTGTCCCTGTCCCACATATATCTGAAGATGCACATACTCAATATAGTCAATAGATTTTCGGATAAGAACCGTTATCCCGCCAGACAAACGACCATAATTACCTATTCTTGTTGTTGAAGTATAGTTTCTTTTGCTCCTCAGTATATATGTGTGTAGCCTGTGGCTATATATTTTCCGAGCGAGACACATTCCTTGAAAGGAGCTTGACCATCGGAGGAAAAACATTTTCCCAGGTTTTATGGGATGGTGGTGTTTTTTCGCAAAGAGCCTGGTGCTGCAAGTTTCCATTCAAAGCGTCATTTAATCCGACGATCATGGGTTCTAATCCCAGATTTGCCCTTATAATGATCATTGGTTTGTCAGCAAACGACACCAGTGTCATAGCTGTAGGAAAAACATTGACGATATCATAGGGCACATTGTGGGAAAAGCAGCGCTTGGAATGTACGCTTGGTGCTTTTCTTTTAGACATTCCTCCCAAATTAAGCGGACGCGCCGTGATTTAACTGAAATACTGTTCCGATTTAGAGGTTGTCACGCGAGCCTTGGCGAGCTAAATACATAGTGTTTATCTCTAATACCATTGGCAAACACACAAGCGTGGTAACCTCTTTATCATATGATGTCATTCTTCGCTTCTGTCATCGAAAACTATCTTCCAATCTTTCACAAACATTACCTTAACATTCCAAGTTTTCCTAGAATGTGCGCATTAATATATATTACGTCAGAAGGTAAGCGACATGTTCGTCGGACAGTGAAAACAGTCAATATTGAAACCATCCGAAACCTGTTTCTTATACAGTAACGTTACTACATCTAGGCAAACCGACAATTGCCTACACAAATTTGTTTCTACTTACCTTTCGCGGCAATACATCGGACTGCTAGCTAGAGTCACTTCCCTTTATCAAAGGGAAGTTACTCTACCCTAGTCTATGACACGTCACGTTTGTTTGGAGTCTTCCTGTCCTGTCATAACGATGCACTTATTCAAAAAACCTTGTCACGGCGTAAGCATAAACTGCATGTAGCATTTGTAGATTTTAAAAGGGCTTTTGATTCTGTTAATCGCTTTAAGCTATGGACATGTCTTCGAAAAGCTGGTTTACGTGGGAAAATGTTTACTATTCTTAAATCAATGTATTCTAATGTGAGATCATGTGTTCGTTGGGGGGATAGTTTAACAGATTTCTTTGATTGTCCTTTGGGCCTAAGACAAGGCTGTATTTTGAGTCCGATCTTATTTTCATTTTTCATTCATGAATTATATTACGAAATAGCTGCCAGTGGTAAACATGGTATCCAAATTTTTCCAGATTTGATAGAAATATGAATGTTACTTTTCGCAGATTATGTCATTCTAGTGTCAGATACTGTTGTTGGTCTTCAAAGGCAATTAAATATTTTAAGTACATACACGAAAAAATGGAAATTATCAGTAAATTTGGAAAAAAACTAAAATTGTGATCTTCAGAAAAGGTGGTCCAATAGCGTCGAAAGAGAGATGGTCATTCGATGGTCAGTTAGTCAATATAGAAGATCACCACTCATATTTAGGAATCTGGTTCTCACACACAATGAATAGGAAAAAAATGTGCCCTTGACTTGTCCTTGCGTGCAAAGAAAGCTTAAATAAGTGTAATGTCTATTGCGCATAAAGTGGGATCGATTTCACCTAATATCTTCTTTAAGCTTTTTGATACCCAGACACAACCAAGTTTATTGTATGGTTCTGAAGTATGGGGATTTCAACGTTATGACTGTTTAGAGAAGGTTCACTTATTTTAGCATGTAAAAGGTCGTGTCGGATCTTCTACACCAAATTGCATGGTTTATGGTGAATGTGGTAGATACACATTATATATTAACTCTCAGATCAGATGTTTAAAATACTGGTTTAAAATTCTTCATATGCATGGACTACGTCTCCCCAAATTAGCTAAAAACATGCTTCTACATTTAGATAACACGGGAAGGAATACTTGGACATCGCACATAAGAAATCTTTTATTTTCGCACGGTTTGGGTTTTATATGGCTATGTCAGTCAGTTGGAAATGTAAATATGTTTCTTAATGAATTTTGGAATCGGTCTATAAATATGTTCTACCAAGAATGGCACTCCACTTTAGAGGATAGTGCACGTTATGAATATTACAAAACTTTCAAGATCTTCACTTCAACCAGAAATATATTTATCAGTACTCACTACGGAAAACTTAAGAAAACAGTTAATTAAATATCGACTTGGTTTGCTAGACCTATTTGTAAACGAAAGAAGAAAACTGTCCATTGAAAAAATGAAAAGAATTTGTCCATTGTGTAATCTAGAGATAGAAAATGAAATTCATTTTGTGTTTGTCTGTCCATTTTACAATGATCTCCGAAAGAAATATATAAAAGAATATTTAATAGCAATGTCACCGATAAACGCGTCTGTAGTTATGCTGACGACAAAGAACGAATCAAATATAATAGTTTTTTCTCTTTATATTAAGCATGCAAATGAATGAATCAAACAACGTGTATATCACAATGTGTAACATATATGATTGTATCTACATGCGTAACTCTTTCTTGTATATGGGCCGGAGGCCTTTTGTACAATAAACTTCTTTTAACTTTGACTTGACCTTCAGTTTCCTCCAGAATGATTTATTTGATGGTTGGTTTGTTGTTTAACGCCGCACTCAGCAATATTCCAGCTATATGACGGCGGTCTGTAAATAATCGAGTCTGGATCAGACAATCCAGTGATTAATATCATGAGCATCGATCCACGCAATTGGGATTAATGACACGCATCAACCAAGTCAGCGAGTCTGACCACCCGATCCCGTTAGTCGCCTTTTACGACAGGCACAGTCGCCTTTTATGGCAAGCATGGATTACTGAAGACCTATTCTACACCGGATCTTCACGGGTAGAATGATTTATTGTTGTTAATGTTAGGCACAAGACTGTTTACACATTTATCTTCGTAAATATTTTTTCAGACAAACACTTCCTAATATTCTTTCCAAACGTTTTTTATTCGCCGTTTATTTGAACGTGTCCAATGACTGAGATTTCCTGCGTTTTTGATTGATCCATTCATCGTCTTACACTTTTTCGTTATGCTCAATAATCTTACGTTGGCATGCAGATACACGTCTTGACCACAATGTCGAGCAGTTTACTGTATAATTTCGACTATTTTATTTACCGAATGATCAATATCCAGTAAACAACGTTCTAGAGATTCCTCCATTGTAAAATCCGCTAGAAGAATCGACTTACAGGTTTAAGCAGTTACGCATATCAGAGATTACAGGTTTAAGCAGTTACGCATATCAGAGATTACAGGTTTAAGCAGTTACGCATATCAGAGATTACAGGTTTAAGCAGTTACACATATCAGTGATTACAGGTTTAAGCAGTTACATATATCAGAGATTACAGGTTTAAGCAGTTACTTATATCAGTGATTACAGGTTTAAGCAGTTACATATATCAGAGATTACAGGTTTAAGCAGTTAAATATATCAGTGATTACAGGTGCAAGTTATTACACGTGTCAGTCACTACAGGTGCTTGTAGTCACACGTATAAGTGACTACAGGTGTAAGCAGCTACACCTTAGCGACTTACATGTGTCATTGCTTACAATATTCCAATATCGATGTCCACAACACATATATAAATTATTTGCGCAAAGTTGCTTTCTGCCGAAATGTAAAACCAATATTTTCAATTTGCTACGTACTTTATTAACATTTACCCATGAAACTATACATTCACTGCTGTATCTAAAACCAACACTGTTCCGGAGGTTATGTAATATAGGTCTTTGAGACCTGATAACGGTTTATGTAGACTGTCATTCCATAGCATAAGTACAACATTACCATAGATAAAGGTCAACACTTGGCAACATTCACGGCCTTGTTCTTCACCAATTCCCGTCTGTGTCGTCTACCGTCGGTTTTACATTTTCTAACAGTATTTCGTGTCCACAATCATGCTTGTTGTTCTCGTAACAGCCTGTATCGCGTTGTCCTATGCAGGTAAGTTATGTTATTGAGCATAGTCGACTGAGGCGCTGGGGGATTAGCTGTGTAGTGTTTCTTCCACTTGAATGCCAAGATCCTAGGATCCTGAGTTCATATCCCGGATTCCTCTGACTTGTTTCTAGGTTTGTCGCCACCACGTCCGTGCTCGTCGATTTTACCAAGTTGTACACGCGTAATACGTAAATTATTCACTTTCTTTTAACTATGTGTTCTTTGACTGTGTCATTTGCTAAGATTGTCCTCGATGTGCCATGACGGTCTGTTCCAGAGAGCTTAACTTGTCCTTTGTGTCAGGTCTTTTCAAGACTAATTTCTCCACTGTGTCAGGTCTGGTGTAGACAGCCGAATTTGTCCATTGTGTCAGGTGTGGTCTAGACAGCCTAATTTGTCCATTGTGCCAGGTCTGGTCTAGAGAGCCGTATTTGTCCATTGTATCAGGTGTGGTCTAGAGAGCCTAATTTGTCCATTGTATCAGGTCTGGTCTAGAGAGCCTAATTTGTTCATTGTGCCAGGTCTGGTCTAGAGAGCCTAATTTGTCCATTGTATCAGGTGTGGTCAAGACAGAAGAACATGTCCATTGTGCCAGGTGTGGTCTAGAGAGCCTAATTTGTCCATTGTGCCAGGTCTGGTCCAGAGAGTCTAATTTGTCCATTGTGTCAGGTGTGGTCTAGACAGCCTAATTTGTCCATTGTGCCAGGTCTGGTCTAGAGAGCCGTATTTGTCCATTGTATCAGGTGTGGTCTAGAGAGCCTAATTTGTCCATTGTATCAGGTCTGGTCTAGAGAGACTAATTTGTTCATTGTGCCAGGTCTGGTCTAGAGAGCCTAATTTGTCCATTGTGTCGGGTCTGGTCTAGAGAGCCTAATTTGTCCATTGTGTCTGGTCTGGTCTAGAGAGCCTAATTTATCCATTGTGCCAGGTCTTGTCTAGAGAGCCTAATTTGTCCATTGTATCAGGTGTGGTCTAGAGGGCCTAATTTGTCCATTGTATCAGGTGTGGTCTAGAGAGCCTAATTTGTCCATTGTATCAGGTCTGGTCTAGAGAGCCTAATTTGTCCATTGTTTCAGGTGTGGTCTAGAGAGCCTAATTTGTCCATTGTATCAGGTGTGGTCTAGAGAGCCTTATTTGTCCATTGTGTCAGGTGTGGTCTAGACAGCCGAACTTCTCCATTGTGTCAGGTCTGGTCTAGATAGCCAAACTTGTACGTTGTGTTGCGTCTGGTCTGGAGAGCTTAATATTATTTGTCCATTGTGTCAGGTCTGTTCAAGAAAGCCGAACTTGTCCGTTGTGTTGCGTCTGGTCCAGACAGCAGAACTTGTCCATTGTTTAAGATCTGTGCAAGAAAGCCGAACTTGTCCCTTTTGTTGGGTCTGTTCTAGACAGACTAATTTCTCAATTGTGTCAGGTCTGGTTGATGTTTTGAATCTAATTGTACGATTCCAGATAATCCTGCTCCTATGTTTATGCATGTTCATAACACACACACACACACACTATATCGATATCAAACAGCTGCGGGACTCCCTGGACATCTCAACATGATATCCGGTCTCGCAGCGAGCAGACGCCATCCGGGCATTTTGTACGCCATCCAAGACAACGCAGGGGATGGGAACGTGTACATGCTGGATGCCACTGACGGCAGCGTCAAAGGTAAATATTCCACTGGTGTCCAGATAAGTATGATATATTAAGTATAGATTGATTTCATCAGTGTTCACCAATGTTCGCGGCCATCTTGGATTTTCTGCCACCAGGGGGCGCTGCTGACATGGATCCATATCAAGAAATATTCGGAATGGTTCAATGTAATAGTGCAAAGTTTGGCGCTTTTAACCTGAAATGCACAATTTTCGCCATATCCCCTCCACTATGTAAGATGTCCTAACCCTAAACCTAAACCCTAACCTAACTCTTAACCTAACCCTAACTGCCGGACAAAAGAAAGTAAACACTCATTTGTTTGATTGTGACTAAAAATGAAACAAACAAGAAATATTTATTCGATGGTCCTAGTTGTATCAAGGGCCTTACCTTTGTTGTCATTCGGCGACTGTTTTCAGCCTAGTAACGTTTTGATAACGTTTGTAATCAATTTTTCAAGTGTATACTTTCATCTGCCGGAATTGTGTGATAATAAAACAATTATTATACTGGCTAATCGAAAATGTTCTGTTACAGGAGTGTTGATAGTCCAGCATGGCGAAGAAGCTGACTGGGAAGACATTGCTGTAGGTCCCTGTCCCGACGGCGACAGCTGCATCTACATTGCCGACTCGGGGAACACCAAACATAAGTCCAGCAACGTGGTCTACAGAGTGAAAGAACCGGACTATACCTTCACCCAGGACATTCCGCTCACCGGCAAATACCACTACACGTAAGGCTTTAGTGAGTGAGTGAGTGAGTGAGTGAGTGAGTGAGTGAGTGAGTGAGTGAGTGCCGGCAAATACCACTACACGTAAGGCTTTTGTGAGTGAGTGAGTGAGTGAGTGAGTGAGTGAGCCGCTTTGAACAGTATTCCAGTTATTTCACGGGGTGTGAACTTAATGCTGGAGGAAAGCCCGAAGTGATGCAGGTCTCAAAACTTTTACCACTTTGGTGAGGTGAGGTGAGGTGAGGTGAGGTGAGGTGAGGTGAGGTGAGGTGAGGTGAAATTGGGTTTAACGTCGCGTCCAAGATTATTGCACTTATATAGCGACGTGCATGTACGTGTGTGTGTGGCTGCTTGTACTAGTCCGGACTGATGCCGATTTATAGTGCTAGCCCACTGAGATACCATGCCGCAGTTTAACATGAATACCCAACTCAGACACAGTATACTGACTCCGAGCCGACCAGTCCTTGTTTTAGCCCATTAATGCTGAGCGCCAGACAGGGTAACAACAAGTACCATATTTTAACGTCTTTTGGTATGACGCGGCCGGGGATCGAGCCCCGGACCTTCCGCTCTCCGGGCGGACGCTCTACCACTAAACCAGGATTCAGGCCACTTTTATAGTGCTAGCCCACCATTGACATACCATCCCACAGTTTAACAGGAATACCCAACTCACCCTATATACTTACTCCGAACACAACAGTCCAAGTATTGATTAAAAATAAGGGGTTCGTTACATTCTCTTCTTCTCGTTACTTCAGGTGGAATCATCCCATGTCCGAATCGCTTATGGTTGATGCTGCAGGAAACGTATTCATCCTTTCCGAGGCAACCGGAACCGGAAGTACTCTCGGACAACTTCCCTCGAGCGGATGGACCAGCGGAAGTCAGGCTGCAGTGAAGACTGTTCTGACCTTGCCCATCACCACCGCCAACAAAGGCCCTCTAGCGGCAGATATCTCCCCAGATGGGAAACAACTCTTGATAAAGACATTAGATCACGTCTATGTATGGTCTATGCCCGATATGAATGTGAAGAAAGCGCTGAGTCATCCGGGAAAGGCTATTCATGGGTACCACCCAGAGCATCGAGGTGAAGCTATTGCATGGTCGGCCGATGGACATGGCTTCTACACAGAAGGAGAAGGCTCCAACGAAAAGTTGCATTTTCACAGTTTTCCATAAGCCTTAAAAATCATTTCTCGGATTTTAAGCAACGTCCGATGACTATTGTTTCACATGAATTGATTCGAAGTCTAGACATTTTCCACCAAGTCTGATAAATATATCCTCTCGTTCAAACGAGCCTCATCTTTCAGAGGCAAGGGAGTTAACTGACTAATAAAGTCCAGTTTCCACACTTGCCGAACTAGACTGGCATTATGGAGTTACACTTTGACTTGACTAACGAGTCTATGCATAGTCCAATCAAAATCGCGCAACGAAATCGAAATCCGGTTAGTAAACTGTCGTGCAGATTTCGGTCGATTGCAGGATTTGCAAATCATGTGGACCATCAACTCGTTGTCAACAGATAGTTTCCAAGTCTTTTCATGTTTTTAATCAACATGCTCACGAGATTTGATGCACTTCGCGATGTGCATCATTATATTGACTCCGATCCGACAATCCTATTTTCACGCCGAGCGCCAGGTAAGGAAACACGTAACATCTTTCACATCTTTTGGTGTAACGCGACCGGGGATCGAACCATCAACCTTCCGTTCTCCGGGCAGATGCTCTACCCACTACGCCACAGAAACCTTGAAAGCATACACAATTTTATATTATTTCTAACAGATTTCAAAAAAGGAAAAAGAAAAAAAAGCTAAGGATGGCTTATTATGAAATCGAGTCTGTATACCCATTTTCCATAAACGACAGACACACAGGTAAGAAATGACCTATTTTAACACAGTCATAGCCAAATCTGGTAATATACTACTCAAATGAGGTGAGGTGAGATGAAATTGGGTTTAACGTCGCGTCCAAGATTATTGCACTTATATAGCGACGTGCATGCACGTGTGTCTGTGTGTGTGGCTGCGTGTACTAGTCCGGACTGATGCCGATTTATAGTGCTAGCCCACTGAGATACCATGCCGCAGTTTAACATGAATACCCCACTCAGACACAGTATACTGACTCCGAGCCGACCAGTCCTTGTTTTAGCCCCTAAATGCCGAGCGCCAGACAGGGTAACAACAAGTACCATCTTTTAACGTCTTTTGGTATGACGCGGCCGGCGATCGAACCCCGGACCTTCCATTCTCCGGGCGGACGCTCTACCACTAGACCACGGGGGCGGTCCTACTCAAATGAAATTAAAGATCACCCGATGTTTTCATATGACTTGTTAAGCTGTCATGACTGGTGGGTATTGCAACACAACCTTTCAATTGTGGTTGTTCTTCAGCCTGTTATGAGTGACTGAGTGAGTCGGGTTTAACGCCGCTTTTAACAGTATTCCAATTATATCGCGGCGTGTCAGGTTAATGTGGGAGGAAAGCCCGAAGTGATGCAGGTCTCAGGCGTTTACCACTTCGGTGAACCCCACGAGCACGGGTATGGTGCTTTCAAACCTTGAAACATGATCAGGGCGAACCGGGATTCAAACCCACAATCATAGGTTTCTGGCGTGCCCAAGGGATGCGACTCTGCACAGCGAATCGCGGACGACTGGGCCACCCGTGCCCCTAGGTTAATTAGAAGGGTTCCCAATTCTTTTAACTGCGTGTGAGTGAGGTACATAGTCTTGTATGCCCAATACTGAGTGAATGAATATGCTTTTACGCTGCTTTAAACATTATTCAGGCAATATCAAGGCGGGAGACTTCAGAAATGGTATTCACACATTGTACCCTTGTACCAGTGTAGGATATCTACAGTGTAGATATCGCTTGATCCCATCCAAGCGATATCTCCTGTGAGAGCCAGTTTTGGATGATAAAAAAACAGTTACGTACATCTCTATATGTTTGTAGAATATGTTGGTAATTTGGAGTTAATATTAAGTGATGTCTCAACTGATGAAATTCGACATCCTTTAAGCTTTGCTTAAATTAGGATAAAATATGTTCATCATATAATGGGTAGGTTTGTCCGCAGGATAAAGCCAACGGATAAAAATGATATCCGTTTGGGTCATATGCGGATAGAGATACAAATATCAAAGGTCAAGTAGGGACTACTTTCAGTGTTTACAAACAAACATGGGGTCGCTCTTGTCATTCGGCGATCGAGTCAGAATTAACCATCGGAAATCTGGATAAACAACTTTGATAATTGGTACCATTATCAAAAGAATAGTCTGATATACTAACAGTGTCTGACTGTGGCGTAGCGTAGGCATTTTACAAGTTTTGGCAACTTTGGAGATATAAATTGCGAAACACTTTTGCGAGGACACTAGCTTGGGGTCAGTAGCAGGATCACTTTCAATATATTTGCGGCTTGGAACCTTTTCACCAAAATTAAAATAGTTGGATTTGCTCGAAATATGTAAGAATTGTTACCTTGTTTCGTTTTGTTCGCTGTGTGTACATCTGACTGCACTTCGTAACGTTATGACAGGACAGGAAGACTCCAAACAAACGTGACGTGTCATAGACTAGGGTAGAGTAACTTCCCTTTGATGACTCCATAAATGTGTTTACCAGCACTGTATGTTGGTTGGTTTGTTGGTTTGTTGTTTTACGCCGCACTCAACCATATTCCAGTTGTATGACGGCGGTCTGTCAATAATCGAGTCTGGACCAGACAATCCAGTGATTGATATCATGTGCATCGATCCACGCAATTGAGATCGATGACATGCTTCAACCAAGTCAGCGAGTCTGACTACCCGATCCCGTTAGTCGCCTCTAACGACAAGCATAGTCGCCTATTACGGCAAGCATTGTCACACAGGGGGACACTATTTTTACGCTACGTTAACCTCCTGGACAGAGCCTTCAATAATGTCAGTTGATAATAGCATCACACCAAATTTAAGAACAAGCATTAATTATTCACATACATATTTAAAATTTACGTCAGAAATTTACTATATTTAAATGCTGGTGTGGTGTTAAAACATCCGGACCGTTGGACAGTGATAGTTTGTTACCGAAACTTCTGTAAAGTTCTTTGTTCTGAGGGAACTGTGTAGCAATTTCCAGTAGCTAGGTACGTTGGACACTAGGAGATATTACGTGTTTCCCTATGACTTACGCATTTTCATCACATCGGAACCAGCTTTAATGTGAGGATCGCTCATCATATCTGATTCCCTGGCTAACTGATCTCGGAAGATTGAACACTGTCGCCGCTGGATGACTATATATAATTATCACTGACATTTGCTATCACCACTGTAATTTTGCATTTAATTCTGACAACTGCAATTATTTATTGTCATTGAATATTGTACTACCGGTCTTTTGTGTACTGTCATTGTAATTGATGTGCAGTAATGTGTGTTGATTTACAAACCTAGTTAATTTTGTAATACAATTGTTAATTGTACACCATTTGGTGGTTCACACTATGTTCATTAACGTACAGATTTCTGGGTTAACGTTTTGTTTCAATTTGGGAATCGACACATTATAACATTGCTTTAGATATATATACGTCAATAGGTTCTTGATTGTGTATTCGTTAGTGGACGACATTATTACATTAAACTTGTTTCTAGTGGCCTAGGTATCATATATTAGTTATGTTTTACACATAAAAAAATATGTTCGACTTCTATATAGTTCTCTTTACAAATAACACAAAATCTGTCTTCTGTCTGTGTCATAGCGTTTCTAAATTAATAACATGTTACAACTGAGATATAGAATTCGGTATTGAAACTGAATTTATACAATGAGTAATTTTATGATTTTGTGCTGTCAGTCAACACCCCATGCCAATCCTGATTGTATGATTGTTTCAATCTTTGAAAATATTCTGACAAAAAACTTGATACGTTTGAAACCTGAACATAATAATAGCTGACTCACTTTAGAGGCCCAGTTTGTCAATTATGGAGTTTTAGTTTGGCTGGACTAACGAGTCTATGCATAGTCCAATTAAAATCGCGTAATGAATTGACATTCGGTTAATAACCAGATGGCGACTGTCGTGCTGTCAACTTGGCATCGATAGATATTTTGCAAATCTTTTCATGTTTTAAACGAAGGCGCTCAAGTCATTTGATGTACTTCGTGAGGTAAGACCCATTTTATTACATTAAAGGTCTTGATTATCGATCAGATCGTCTAGCCTGGGAGCCGCCATTTTGATTGAAGCAAATGCAAGTCATATGAGAGATGGAATCTGGTCAATACAAGGGACATCGAAGGGACATAACTCGTAATCGCCACTGGTGGCTCTACGATCGAGCCCAGAAATTCCAGCCTAGTTCGGCAAGGGTAGAAACTGGACTTTTACAGTCAGTAAATTAACTCTCTTGCCTCGGTAATATGTTGACTCTGCAGCGTTACATACAGTGCTGACCCCTGAAGATCCGGGGTAGAATAGGTCTTCAGCAACCAATGCTTGCCGTAATAGGTGACTATGCTTGTCGTTAGAGGCGACTAACGGGATCGGGTAGTCAGACTCGCTGACTTGGTTGAAGCATGTCATCGATCTCAATTGCGTGGATCGATGCACATGATATCAATCACTGGATTGTCTGGTCCAGACTCGATTATTGACAGACCGCCGTCATACAACTGGAATATGGTTGAGTGCGGCGTAAAACAACAAACCAACAAACCAACCAACATACAGTGCTGGTAAACACATTTATGGAGTCATCAAAATTATCTAAAGCTTTGTCAAAACACAAGAGCAGGGCGTCTGATATTTCTGTTGAAAAAAGTTTGTCTCCTAATTCGGACACCCTGTCCCTGTCCCACATATATCTGAAGATGCACATACTCAATATAGTCAATAGATTTTCGGATAAGAACCGTTATCCCGCCAGACAAACGACCATAATTACCTATTCTTGTTGTTGAAGTATAGTTTCTTTTGCTCCTCAGTATATATGTGTGTAGCCTGTGGCTATATATTTTCCGAGCGAGACACATTCCTTGAAAGGAGCTTGACCATCGGAGGAAAAACATTTTCCCAGGTTTTATGGGATGGTGGTGTTTTTTCGCAAAGAGCCTGGTGCTGCAAGTTTCCATTCAAAGCGTCATTTAATCCGACGATCATGGGTTCTAATCCCAGATTTGCCCTTATAATGATCATTGGTTTGTCAGCAAACGACACCAGTGTCATAGCTGTAGGAAAAACATTGACGATATCATAGGGCACATTGTGGGAAAAGCAGCGCTTGGAATGTACGCTTGGTGCTTTTCTTTTAGACATTCCTCCCAAATTAAGCGGACGCGCCG